CCCTTTGTAACGCAATACAACCCATCTGTGCCTAACCTAAAACACATTCTAATGGAGAAATGGCATCTTATAGAATTACAACCTAAACTTAAAGAAATGTTCAAAGAACCTCCGATCATCTCTTATAAAAGAGGCAGTTCATTAAGAGATATACTGGTTAAAGCCAAACTCTAGTTAATCTCTTTAACGCTACATGTAGAAGAGCAATTACATTCATGCGACACGTTTGCGGGATCTGTGAATGGCCTGTCACTATTTAATTACCATGGGAAACCAAACAAATGATTTTTATGAGCAATCCACACTTGTACAACAGGCATATTGGCATCAGGTATATCAACATTTCACAACAGGGAAAATAAATGCAATGCCTTCGTGGATAAACAGAGAGAAAAACAGAAGTAGTTCTCACTCTTTATGCGCAACAAGAATTGTAGATACTTCAATTTTTGGTGAAATGCAGCGAGTAGCTTATGATATTGTTTTCAATCATTTTAGTAGCAGTAAACAAAATCCTTTACGCGTTCTTATTATGAGCGTTGCAGGAACAGGAAAAAGTCAAATGCAAGGTCTTCTGCTGTATCATGAATTCAAGAAAGTTGTTAAATTGACTGTTAATCAGAGAGTTCAAGGAAGTGATATTGAGGAATCCAATTTTAGGGCATTATTAACCCAAGCTCGTTATGGCGTCTCAACTATGTCAGAATGGGAGTCATTAATTTTTCGAACTCCACATAAAGTGAATAATATTAACGATTTCAGACAACATTCAGTAAGACTTTGTTACCACAAAGAAAAAGTTGCAGAATTAAACATGAGTAAACTTAAAAGTTTGAATCAACCGATAGCCATGATTAAGGCACGTCACTCTCTTGGTGCACAAACTCTAAGTGCTGATGACATGGGGGGCCTCGAGCCTGTTATTACTTGTCAAAAGGTGCCAAAGTCATGTTAACTATGAATCTCTGGACTGATGTTGGTCTTTGCAATGGAGCAATAGGGACAGTACTTGACTTTGTTTATGCCGAGGGTAAGCAACCTCCATGTTTTCCTATACGTGTACTGGTTCAGTTTGATGAGGAATATAAAGGACTTTCAGTTTCTTCTATGTTTCAACGTTGTGTTTCAATTTGTCCCATTACCCAAGTTTCTGGAAGCTTGGGACAAACATATGAAAGACAGCAATTGCCATTAAGATTAGCCTGGGCAATGAGAATTCATAAATGTCAAGGTCTAACCCTCAGTAAAGCTTGGATTGATTTAGGGTCATCAGAGAGAACTCTTGGAATTACATATGTTGCTTTAAGTAGGGTGAAGACAATTGAAGATCTCGTTATTGAACCAGTGACACTAGAAAGATTGCAAGCTGTGAAAAAGTTCACTAATTTTAAGTTGCGATTAGAAGAAGAAAAGCGTCTTGATTTGTTAGCTAATGAAACACTTAAGTCACATTTTACAATATCTTAGAATACTTTTTTTGTACCTTTAGATACTATTTCAAAACAATTAAAACTAGTAATACACTCTTCACAAAATGTTTCTTTAGTTAGAGATCAAAATAAATCTCTGTCCCTGTAGTAACTGGTGGCAAATAATGTGGGCAAACCTTTCACGTTTCATCTTTTTTTTTGGAGAACAGCAAATGCTTTGTGCTAAAAAATAAAACCTCAGTTAAAAATCCTTTTGCTACAATGTATATATAGTTTACAGATAATTTTGGTATGTTGTTTTCAGATCTCCAACCAATTAAGTCATGTCAGCAATAAAGTCAGACAACACAAACTCAGGTAAGTATATGTAGCTGTAATTCTAAATAATTATTTGAAGGTTTTAACCCCAAACTTAATAAAACGGGAAGCATATTCCTGTTTTCTTCAGTGCAGAGGCTATGGGGAGGTGACACAACAGTTACTGCAGAATTGAGTACTAAAAAAAAGGAATTGTCACATTTCATTCAATTCATTACCTGAAGCAGCCCTTCATAATCTTCACACTAAAGTCTACTTAAGGTTTTTCTGACCATATTTGGTTTCATAAAGATGGAAAATTGTATTAACTTGTTGAACATTAATATTTCACATTTCTTATCTCATTTTAATTTTTATTTCCCCTTTCTTAGATAATTACCGTGGCTACATTCAGAATTTAAGCCCCATTAAACGCTCACGAAATCAAAATCAGTGGTTCGATTTTGACCTCCAAACCAGCCCATCCAAGTTGAGAAGAGTTGTGGGATTTAATACTGGAAGCCACTCCACATTACAAGAACATGAGGCATCAAAAACAGCCGTAACCCTTCAAAACACTAAAGAAAATGACAATAATCAAATCATATTCAACCAACAATCAATGGTCAGGGTTGCGCCAACCTTTGACATTGATTTTGACTTTCAGCCCATCCGTCAATCTCAAAAGACTATACCCTCAGCTCAGCCTGCAAGAAACATTACACTTGAAGAGCTCCCCACACTTCAAGTCAATCAGAAAGTGAACGTCACTGCTTCAATTTCACTGGGAAATGAAAAGCCTAAACCAGTTCAACTGAAAACATCAAAGGAGATGACATCAGTGAAGGAGGATTGTGTTCTAGAAGATGAAACTCGAACTGGAACTATTCATGTATGGGATCCACTTCTTAACAAAATCAAAAGTGGCACCACATATGTGATTGAGAACCTTACTGTAAAACACTTCCAAGGAATCACCCATTTAAGGAACAACGCGTGCAACAACCTTTCAAGAGGCTGATCAGCAGCTGAAAACTCTAAATGGCCCTGCATTACTCTAAAATCCTGAGAAAGAAGCAAAAGTACAGAGATTTAAGATTTTACCTGCCAAGCATGCAAACAAAAAATTAACGAAATGTCCCAACAGAAATCAATCAAATGTAAAAACTGTGGAGTACGACAGAGGCAAGCAGAGTGCAAGCGAGATGCATCTGTGCAACTACTTGTACATTTGGATGACAAAGATGTGTGGTTAACAGCATTTACAGATGTTCTGAAGTACCTATTCGCCACCTACCCAACTATCTCCCTACTAAGTGACTCAGATACCACTGAGGAACTGCTAATGGATATAACAGACATCAAGTTCACATACATTATGAACAGAAAAATAATCAAAAATATCATCATCTTCACTAATTACAGGTTAAACTGCTCTGGATAGTGTTCTTACTACAAACTTTACAAAGGATCATTTGATCAAAACATTAAGTTTGGTTCTTTATTGTCTTTCCTCTCATTGTGGACCTAAATTAATAATAATATAATTACAATGTTTTTTTTGGTTGCGATTTTACAATAATTATCAACCATTTACACGTTCAAGTTATTAGTTGTGTTACTTGAAATATTATTAAGCAGACAAATGCTTTAGTATGTTTCTGTTCAGAAAGATGTAAGTACATATGACCCCATTCTTTATGTGGAACAAGGCAATAACTGTCCTTATGCCTAAAAAAAGAAAACTTTCCCATCTTAATGGCAACCACCATTTTATAACAACCTAAAACGTTGTCTCCCCACCTTCCGGCAACAATCACTTTACTTCATATATAGGACTACCCTGTGAGCAGAGTCTCCAGCACCTAATATGTGCAAATATGTGTTTTACAAAACGTTATGTAACACTTGTAAAATTGACCTTCAAATGTATTCAACATTAATCAATAAATGGTTCAGATTTTCAAAAAAACAAATGATTCTCACTGATACCTCCCTCTGCAAAGCTGATTAGATACTTCATGACATTTCAAACCTTTATATAGCGCTTTGCAAAGCAACAGGAATATGAGAACCAAGTCTTCTCTGCAACCTTGATACATTCATGACACCTTTTCAACTAAATGATCCTTGCATTCGGAGGGGACCTGAGAAACTCTCAAATGCAAAATACGCATTTTTTTGCTCGTTGGCACTCTATCGATAGATATACCTAGTTTAAAATATGTTGGTATTCCTGAATATTATTTGCCCAGTTCACACCTTTCTTTCCCATTTTTAAGATGTCATACTCCTTTTTTGCCCTCAAGGACCTGTGACTTCGCTCTACCTTTCCCTGAGACTGTGGGTGATAAGGACGGCTACAAATGATCTTTATCTTCAACCGACGACAAAGTTTTTTCACCGCACCTTTAAATTCAGGTCCTTGATCACACTGAATAACTCTTGGATATCCATGCTCCAAGTAGATGCTTTGCATTTCTCTGGCTATAGTCTTACTGGATTTTTATCAATCGGACGAAGCCAAATAAATCTGCTAAACACGTCAGTTACAGACAGAACATATCTGTAAGTCACACCATGTAGCTTGCAAGTTCCCCTCTTCCCCATGTCCATCAAATCGATTTGGTGTCTTATCTGTACATCCTTAGCACGAATGGGTTTCAGTTTCGATTTATTACTGAATTTTGCACTTCTCCTGTAATGTGATTTGTCTGTATTTAATATGTCTTGTACTTTTTTGCGACTGAGACCAACATAGTTTTCCTTTAAAGAAGCTGCAAGCTTTGCTGCTCCAGATCCCTTTGTACGATCGAATTCTTTGACTACAACTTTACCTACTTCAGACTTTCTTAGCATCCTTTGGCCTTTGTAATACAAAACTTTTTCACCATTTTCTTCAGCTGCTGTTACTTCCCCTTAAGACCACCAGTAGCAAATGACTGCTGCTTTCGGAGATTTGGTTCTGTCTTTGACAGGCCGTAACCGTTCTCCTTGAATGATATCAATAAGGGCGTTGTAAATGTCGTCCGGTATCACCTGTGAGATCTTTTACCACGCTCTTGATTACGTTTCTTTGAAATACAATTGTAAGGTAGAAGCAAAAATGCTAATGCAGCGATATAAAGCACGTTGAATGCGTTCCTCTTTAACCACTCTGAAGTCAAAGGTGATAGGAACTTTTGTCACCTGGTTATAACTTAGACCGGTTATGACTTAGATAGTGTGTAGACAAATGTCTAGACGAGCCAAATTCCAACATGTTTCCAAATT